ACCATGATTCCATCATTAGGTTCAAACTTTGTGATTAGATTTTCATTATTAAAAATTGCATTATCTGTGGCACGACCTCCATATCCTTTACTAACATAAGAAATCAATCCTGAGGGGGTAAATCCAATTATTAACTTTATAGTATGACACCTTTTATAATGTGATTATGATAATTAATATTCTGCAATTTAAACATTTTAATTTTTGTACCCTAATTTCTGTACAGTCTAGTATAACTCTAGTATTTCTGAATTTATGGAAGCATTTTGGGAGGTTTTGCAAAATTTCTTCTTTGGGGGGCCAGTAAATAATTGATTTGATACTCTGTGCCAAAAGGTTCACAGTAGAGTAAAAAATTCTTGTACACATGGAACTGCTCAAACCAAAAAAAAGGGCTAGACAACTGAATGGAAGGTTGGGTTTCAACTTGCATAAAACCAGTACTATGTTCATTTCTATATTTGAGAGATTAGGATTATTTGATGCTGCTACATTCCTCATACATTTTTCATAAGCTCTCAAAATGGTATAATCCACACCTTAAAAAAATTAAGTACATGTTATTTCTAATACATCAGATGTTTCTACTGAACAGAAGTGTAGAAAGAGTTGGAACAATCCATTATAAACTCAATACAACTGAAAGCATGTCAGTAGACACCTAGGTATACCTATTGTGCCCACCTGTGAAAATTTTCAATTTATCATTTGTATTCAATATCTGGGGCAGTTGAAGTTTGTGTTCCTTTGTTTGTGTAGAAGACTCAACCATCATATTATGTGCAGTTTCAATCTCCAGTTCCATATCATCCGAGATATCATCATCATCATTTGAAATAGGTCTAGAATCATTTTCTATATCACTTTGATTGATTGATTCCTGGATTGATTCCATGTTCCCTATTACTTCACCAACACTTGGAACCAAGTTTGGAACTAACTGACCGTCTAATTCTTCAGGATGAAATTCTGATTCTTTATTATCAATTCCAGCTCTTTTTGGTGACCTTTAAATCCATTTATTTATGAAAAATCACAAAACAGGTAAGTAACTATTTGAGAATAATCACAATTATGATCATGTAGGTACTCACTTTCTGTATATAGTCTTTCCCAGGTCCTTCCTGTTTCATGTGATGATGTATTCCCAATATTCACTGATGGTACTGGATGAGGTACTGCAGTTTTTTCAAGGAGTTTTGGTGGTTTACGTTTTCCTTTCGAATTACCTGAAATTGAGAACCAAATAATGATAGGAATAATGAATCATTTATCAAAGGCTGAATGTTACTCACCTTTATTATTTAAAAAATCTTCAGCAATAAAATGTTCACTGCAAACGAACATGCTTTGTGTAATCCCAATTTTTAAAACGTTTTCCCAGGCTTTACACAATTTCGGATCTTGAGGAAATTTGTGTAAAGAAACCCTAGGAGTAGTGTAGGAAGAGCACTGAGGAACTGAACAAAACTTCCTGGATTTCGTTTCAACAGTTTTGTGAACTCGCTGCATGTCAACGAGATGATAAAAAATTTCTCCATTCATGCAGCTTCAAATATATGCCGACGTTGCCCTTATTGTATATATCGTGATATTCCTGCAGGGTGTGCCATCATTTGGTTTCATCAGGGTTTATCTCGAGGTTTTTTGTACACATAATCAATATAAATTACGTCAGATTCTCGAATCTCGCAGGCACTTCCTCAAATGGTAGACCAATACACCCTTTTTTTATTTGTATCCTTAGGTATATCAGCCTGTATACGAACCTTGAGGATTAGAATTTCATGTGAGCAGGCTAGCTTATCCTCAATTTTAGAAAGTATGTATAATCTATAGTAAAATTAGGTATGACTTGAAAGAAGTGACTATTATCTTTAGAAAAAAACACAATCAAAAGCTGTGAATGGGCCTGTTTCAGTAAAAAAAAACATTTCATTGTTTCGAAGTAACCCTAACTAGTTCACTGTTTTTTCCTCGAATAATTATTTAAATTCACGATATTTAATGATAAAAAAACGCGGGAAAACGCGTGACGAAATCACCAGTGAACAATCCAATGCAACCATATAAGATTCTACTAACGTATCCGTTCTTTTGTTTCTAAGACAAGTGCAAGAATATTTCTGATTGTCATTTCTATCAAAATGTGAATTTCAGGAAACAAAACACACTAAGTCATCTCCACAAACTTCAATGTCAGAACTATGAACATAGGACTATCGTTAGTACATCATCAGCAGAATGAAATGTTACATGAAATGTTTGGAAGTGAAAAAATGGCAAAGTTATTTATGGTTATAATAATATAGACAGTAGGTAAACAGTAAAAGGGGGCTACAACCACCTGGTCATCCAAGAAAATAATGTATTGTCTACATGTAAAATAAAGGAATACATTCTAGTTTTATTGATGTTCGAATTGGCATACTTGAATGTGATTTCGATCCACAAAAACAGACAACTATTGATATCATCTGGATTTATAAAAAATCAATGTTTCAGTTCGATTTCTTTTATGGTTATATATATTTTTTAATGATTATGTGGTTTTTTTCTTTCGACTACCCATTTCTGTTAACTCCTACTAAACAATTGTATGTAGGAATCAACTAATATGATAACAGTTGAATTATAGAAGCTATCTGACAGGTTAAAATTGAGAATCCATTCAGAAGGTCTTGTTCGACATCTATGTTGAACCGGTCGATGTATGCCGTGCGAATTGAAGAGCAGTTCCTATTGCGTTTTGCCTTATATTTCTGAATCTGACAGAATTCTTGGATATTCTCATTAGAACTACGTCCCTCATCGAATTATAATGATTTATTTCTGAAAAATCGGCAATCTCACATAAAATCTATACCTTCACTATGACGGCCATAAAAACTTTTCTTATACCCACATCAACTCGGTTTGATTTCCTTTATCCACAATTTGGCTTTCCTCATAAGTCATCCTCTTTATATCCTTATAATCTCTTTCCAATGTAATGGAGAAATACAGTGTGTCCCACTCACCATGCTCACCATGGGTATCTTTTCAACGGTGAGAGATACGTGGTCGGTTGAATGACACCAAATGTGGAGTTTGTCGAGGCCAACTATAATGTGAAAAAATATTTTCATAAAATCTATTCGTTTTTGTTTTATACGCAAAAAACAGATTTTGATCATTTTCATGTCTCCTCCTTAACTTCTTTATTTATGAAAATATTCAAATAGGAATTTCACATTCTCATGGCAGTTTTCCAAAGTGATTTCGAAAAAAATATGAATTTTATACCATCTCTTCTAGAATTTGAGATATCAGCACCAACTTTAGTTTTTCAAATGTAGGTCATAACTCACTATGACTTAGTTACAAATAACTTTTTTTTCTCTTACAGATGATATGTCGCAGTAATAGTTCTGTGTTGATAACAACGGAGTTATCGTCATTTTTACAAAAACAAAAAATTATTCGGAAGCCGCCATCTTGAATTTATGAATTTTAACAAAAAAATCACAAATATTTTTTCACATTATAGTTGGCCTTGACAGACTCCATATATGGTGTCATTTAACCGACCTCGTATCTCTCACCGTTGAAAAGATACCCATGGTGAGCATGGTAAGTGGGACACACTGTATACTCTCAGAAGATGTGAATCTAATTTCTTGAGTGAGGAGTGTAATATGCAGATTACATTCTGAACAGCTGCCATGGCTGCGGCATGCACCTATCCTCATTTCCTTAACTGAAATATAATACCAAGCATATTGCATTCACAAAGTCAAGTAATCTGTACGATCGGAGCATCGCTTTCAAAAGGTTGCTACACAGTAACGTCGTATGATGGTTTCGTTTGAGGATCACCAAATTATTTTTGAAGAACATTGTACGTGGGAGGATATGAAGGGAAGGTAGGCATTAAAATTTCATGAAATATAAGTTTTTTGAGAATACTTCCTTTGCCAAGGATTCCAGAGCTTTGCGAAACATAAAGTTATGGCAGAGAGCATAATATACAACATAGTGAAAATATTGTTAGTCTTCAATATTCCAAAGATTTTCATATTCCAATAGTCTATAGGTGATGCCCACAGTAGCGACGTTAAGTAAGGGAGGATACTAAGTAGAACATGATTATGCAATAAAAATCACCAAAAATAATGATGAAGTACCAACTGACATGAAACATAACAACAAATAGCAACGATAAGCTCTCAAATTTTTCAATGCGCACGCGCTCCTTTTTCAGAATAAAATTCAGATTGTATATTGTGAATTTGAAAAATTATTGATCTTTGATCATCAAAGGCTACCCTTCTATTTCTGTTTTTCTCTTTTCATTTCTTGTGCGAATTGTTTGCTCAAAGTAACATATTTCCATTTGTTGAAAATCGATAGTGAAGTGTGGTGGACTCTTGAGAATAGTTGAAAATATGAGTTGAGTCTTTCTCAAAACAAAATAACTTGAGCTGCTCAAGGTGATGTTAACAACGATAACTATTGACTATTTACATGAAAAAACTTATTGAAAAGGACTACTTGAGATATTTCTCAATAGAAGCTTTCGAGAAATTCGTTGCAGAAGAAACATATTTTCACATTAGAAAAATGAAAGATATTCTCGTTCTGGAGGACTACTTGAGATATTTCTCAATAGAAGCTTTCGAGAAATTCGTTGCAGAAGAAACATATTTTCACATTAGAAAAATGAAAGATATTCTCGTTCTGGATTTTTTTGTGAATGGTAGCTCATATTATGGGGTATCATAGTCTTGATAACCGTGGGCTAATTTCAGCCGTTTTCCTGAAATATCGTTCATCAGAGAACAGACCAAATATTGATGTATTTACATTCCCACCTTGACTGTCCTTATCTGTCATTATATTATAGTTGGTTAGTCATGATTCTCCTTGTATACAATCTGCTACTTTGTCGAAACTCGATTATTTTTCATCATTATCTGAATTATATGTAAATTACCTTTGTACCTATTGACTAATTTTAGGTACAACAGATTCGTCAACATGAAATACTTCCTCAACAACAGCCATACAAGGTAGAAGTTAAACTGGCTCCTCATCAACAAAGTAACACTATACAGCAAGGAATCCAAGCACTGGTTGTTCAAACAGTCACACCTGATCGAAATACTGTACCGAATCAATCAGTGCAGCAAGTGCAAGTTCGACGAGTGATAAAGAGAACAACAGGTAGGAGTCGAGCAATTTTCGTAATCGAAACAGTCATATCTCGTACAAAGCCACTTTCTGAACGAGAAACATTATCCTTTGTTGATGAACGGAAGGTGTTTGAAGTTTTTAAAAATTCTGTATCATTCTTAATAAATGGGAAAATAATGTTCCTAGCGAGTTTTCAAAGAGGTGGATCAATTTGAATGAATGACACGAGAGCAAAAAAGGGTGTTTGATTAAGGATAATGAAAAACAATGACTTAAACAAATTACAACTTCAACATCAATAACAACAATGTTGACCACTGGCCGTTCATTATTGTACAGGGATATCCATCGAGAAGGCCCACCCCTATATTATCAATATATTGTTGCATTAGGATCAAACGTGACGCATTTGCGAGGTGGAGCGTCTAGCGAAGCAAAGCGAAAGCAACATTTGCGAGTCAAACGAAGCCACTTTTGATCCGAATGAAACATGCTATTTTCTCTGCAACCGAAAAAATTAACTAAAATAAATATAGGTGAAGTAACCACCAATGTGACTCACTTGACAAATTATTATAATAATATGAGTAAGTAGATAGAAGCAATACCTCAGAATACTTCACTTTGTTCCAATTTGTGATGACATGCAGCCTGTCATCAGAGACTAAAAGCACAAATTCTATACTACTGATTTCACTTCTGTTTGTGTTATGTATACCATATTCTTCAAGTCTGTCACCACAATAATCTATTCTTTTTGCAAAGAATTGACATTTTCGAGGGTTTATTCTAATATTGCTGTTTGATACTCTGGATTCCTTTTCGTGCGCTCCAAGCGATAAAAAAAAAAAAAAAAATGAGATATCGCCTAGGGCTATTATTTTCATGTCATACAAGAAAACTGACACCCCCTGTATATCCTTTAATATATCCTCAATCTCTCTTTGTACTGCGATATAATCTTTTTGGTGTAAGTGGTGTTAAGAATTTTCTTTCCTCACGATGCGCTTCCATCTGTAAGTATGCTTGCTGTAGGTCAAGCTTTGAAAATTAATCACCCCCAGCAATTGAGGAGAACATAGCTTCAATAGTAGGCAAGGCAATAAATAAATATTTCACAAATATTAGGCGCAGCTCGGCGTTTAGGAAGGAAACACTTGTGATTTTATTCGTCTATACGAATTATTGCATAGATTTCGGGAGGATGTAATCCAATGTTCTGCGTGGCATATAGCCAGAAAAGGTGATGTTTTTCTTCCGTTAGCCACTATTTTCGTTCATTTCATGAACTATTGTGGTAATGACTTTGAGTTTCTCTCTTTGTGACCATTGCATTTCACTTTGAGTATTTGGCCTTTTCCTAGTTGAACTAAATATTTAATGTACTCTCAAAATCTACAGATTCGTATGTAACCAGTTGCTTCCACCACTGGTAAATCGGGTTAGCGTATTTCAAGGTAGTAAATTTTTCCAAGATTCCCTCATTTTCTAAAAAGTTCAACTCTTCCTTCACTTTTGCCAATAGTGCCTAAGGCACCCTCCTACAATTTTTCCCATATCACTACTGAATACTTTGGAATTTTTGGAAAACAAATTTTCCAACCTTGTATTTAAGTTGATTTGATAAACAAAGGATAAGTTGGTGAAACCTAACCCCAATTGCCTAATCCATTCCCGTCCTAAGAGTGGCTGTTTTTCTGAATGTATCACATAGAGGTTCAATTTATTTGTAGAGGAAAAAAGTTTTTGAAATCGACGGAATTCATCAGAGTGACTGCAGCACCTGAATCAATTCAAAATAATATCCCTACCAATGCGAAGGCGAGATGGCGGGCGAGTCGAACGTACAATCGAACACCTCTCCCAATAATTGCAATAAATGCAAACATTCTATAGTGAAACAAGTTTTAAAATGTGAAAATTGTGACAACGTATATCACCCAAGTTGTGCAAAACAAAAAAATGTGAAAGTTATCAGCAACAATGTGATAAACTGATGTGTGAATACCGAAGCATGTGATATGGGACATTTTTTTGATGCCATGAATGACCAAGACTATGACAAGGTAGACTTCAATCTATTCAAGTATATAATAAATCAGAAATTCGTCGTAAATCGTGGATTACGAGATGAAATAAAAATTTTGAATGATCATATGAATCTGTTAAAAGTGGTCAATATAGATAAAAACCCTCCAACGCAAAAACCATCTGCGATTAGTTCGGTAGTCGATCCTAAAAACAACACCGAAAGTAGAGCACACAAAAAAGGTAGATTAGATTAGATTTGGAATGGGGCCTTCGGGCTATCTGCCTCCACACTGCGACCTTTTCAGATCTATTGTGTCTGCCCTCAGAATCGATTAGAGTTCTTTGGCTAGCCCCACCTTCTCTATGAGACTCCATAGGCTAGCTTTCAGATCTCCTGTGTATCTCTAGGCTCCTGGTTGTTCCTCACCCAGCGTAAGGAACCTTAGTCTTGACAAGCCCTCACAGTGGCAAAGTATGTGTACTGCTGTTTCTTCCTCTTCAGTCAGACCTATCGTACTCATGTGTTTGTTGAGCCTACAATGCCCTGTGAGAAGTCTTACTAGTATTCTAGTTGAACTTCGTTTCTGGCTTAGTTGATATTCTGTGAATGTTGGCGATGGTTTTTTAATAAACTGTTTAGCCTGTCTCATTCCTGGCGAGTTGTTCCACCATTCTTGAGATTTGGTTTGCATCCATGATTTGATACTAGTCTTTTGTATAGCGGCCAAGTGAGTCTGCCTCTTCATTGCCCTCGCACCCTGTATGTGCTGGTACCCATGCTAGAGTGAATCTGTTCTGACTGCCCAGTGCATTTAGGGTTTCTAAGCAGCCCCATACTAGTTTTGAGTTAACTTGTATAGAGTTGACTGCTTTGATTGCCGCCTGGCTATCTGAATAGATTGCAATGGTTTTGCCTTTAAACTCTTGCCTTATCAATTCTTTCACGCAATGATGTATTGCAATAATTTCTGCCTGAAACACCGTCGCGTATTTGCCTAAGCTCAGTGAGATTCTTGTCTTTGGCTTGGCCCCATAAATACCAGCTCCTGATCCTTCCTCAGTTTTGGAGCCGTCCGTATAGACAGCAATGTCTGCATTGATAGAAGGTCCTTCCTTCCATGCCTCTCTGTCCGTTATACTTATTTTAAAAGTTTTTCCGAAGCTTTATTTTGAAATTATGCCATCCGTTGGCATCCCCATGATGGGGTCGCTTTCCAACTCTTCATATAGCTTCCTATAGTCTTTACCGTGCGCGTTGCTTATGGGTGCTTGACCCCTTGACAATCTACTCACGACTGCTCTGGCTTCGCCTTGAATATATATTTGTAGTGGTGGTAGGTTCAAGAGGACCTTTAAAGCGGCTGTTGGAGTGGTTTTCATTGCACCAATGGCACTCAGGCACGCTTGCCTTTGAATAGCACTGAGCCTTCGAATCACTCCAGCCTGTTGTGTCTTTGGCCACCAAACTACTGACCCATGTGCTATCATAGGCCTGATGACGCTGGCATAGAGCCATGTGGTCAATTTTGGTTGCAGTCCCCAATTTTTTCCGCACATTTGTCTGCACAGATTGAAGGCTACTGTACTTTTTTGAACAATTTTTTGTAGGTGTTGATTCCATTTTAACTTATGGTCAAAGATGACTCCTAAGTATTTTGCATCTAGGGCGAACGGAATTTCTACCCCGTTGAGTACTGGTGACTTTAATCCTTCCAGTACTCTCTTTTTCGTGAAATTCACTATAGTGGTTTCATGAGGGTGCACGGTGAGTTCCTCCTCTTTACACCAATTGTCAATTATGTTTAGAGCGATTTGTGTGAGCTCCGAGATCGTGCTTGCGAATCTACCTCTAGCGATAACCGCCAGGTCGTCGGCATATCCTAGGCAATAATACCCTTTGGATGTTAGCCTTTTGATAAGTTCATCCATTAGAATGGCCCATAGTAGGGGCGATAATACTCCTTCCTGTGGGCATCCCCTATCTGCTCTAGCTGTCAGGGTTGTCTCGCCAATTGTGGATATGATAGCCCTATTTTTCAAATTTACATTTATCCACTGGCACAGGAGTAGTGGTACTCTTTTCCTTGCTAGGGCGTTAATCATAGAATTTGTTGATTCTTTATTGAAAGCACCTTCTATGTCTACGAATGTTGTTATAGCTATTTCTTTGTCCTCTATCGACTTTGCGAGTAGCCTGTTCAAATCATCCAGTGCTAAGTCAGTTGACTTGCCTGGCTGATACGCATATTGGCGTTCGTTGAGCGGGTTTCTTTGTAATACCTCGTCTCTTATGTATCTGTCTATCAGTCTTTCCAGCGTTTTGAGCAGGAACGACATTAAACTTATTGGGCGGTATGAGTTAGGCGTTTTGTCACCCACCTTTCCCACTTTGGGTAGGTAGATGACTGTCACCTTCTGCCATACGATGGGTATATGTCGTATTGCAATACAAGCCTTGAATACCAGAAAATGTAACTCCACGGACAAGAAGAAAATAGACGAAAATAATGCACAAACAGTCATTAGTCATCAACAAGTGTGCGATGGGATAAACCAGGTCGAGAATACATTGAAATTAAAAAAATACATTGACATAAATTCCGATAAGTCCGATAGAAATGTCAAACCAACATCGTCGGGATCATTCAGCACCACCACGTCAAACCAGCAACAAGGGCAGTGGAAGGAAGTGGTTGGAAGAAAGCGGAGACGCCAAATGGTTGTCGGAAGTTATGATGGAGATTCTCGTGTAAAGGGTGTCCCCAAACAGACGCATTTACATGTTTACAGAATCGATCCGCAGACTTCGATTAATGATCTAACAGAACTATTGAAAATGCACTTTCCTGAAGTGAAATGTGAAAGCATCACTCCCAAATACCCGAGTATTCAAAATTCTTTTAAAATCTCAATTTTCGAACATAATTTTAGAAAGGCTATAAATCCTAAGATATGGCCCTTTGGGGCATGTGTACAACGTTTTTTCGAGTTTGTGAAAA